TAAGTTAATCTCTGCTTTTCAAAAGCAATAAAAAATTGCGTTTGTGCTCATTAGTCCGTATTCTACAGGTGATGCTGTAGTACCTGTATGAGAATGTTAAAAATTGACCACGCCTATCCAATATGACGGTGTATCAAAATTTTGATTTTTTTTTTAACTTCAAAAACCCTGCCCTTCGGCTAGACCGACCAGGTATGTCGTATCCGTAGTAAACGTTCTCTCGTTCACAACAATGGGGATATCGCCTACAAATTTTCGTAAGAGTTCGAAGATGGGCTAAAGAGATCAAAGAACACACCTTTCAACGCCCACATGCCAATACAATCAAACCAAGAGACACCTTTGCTTTTCGTGCCTTTTTCTCGTTGCTGATAAACTACAGCGTATACATGATGAAAAGATGGCCACGCCTACCCAATATTATAGAGTATGAAAATTTATGTTTTTCTCTTCATTTAATATTATATAGGATAACGGTAACGGGTATAAAAGATTCGCAACTGAATATAATATTTTTTTCTTGTTGTTATTGTTGTTGCTTTTTCTATTATTATTATTATTATTATTATTATTATTATTATTGTTGTTTTTCGTTTTCTTTTGCTTTTTTCAAACTCCTAATCCGTGATTTCTGTAATCTTTGAAAAAAAAAACATGCTTTTTTTTTTCTCAATTCCTCAATCCGCACAAATATATGTACATATATAAGTAGGCTTAAATGCAATTATGAATGCGTGTATTTGAGTGCATTAAATACTAAATGGCAAAAGCCAGTCTTGATTAAGCATTTCGACATTTTACGATTTATTGTCTAACGTCAGATAAGCATTAATCCCATCATTGATCTAGTCGACGATCGTCAACGGATACAAGTCAAATTTGAATTAATTTCTCGTTCGTTTTTGCGACATTTTGTAAAGGTAATCAAAACTTACGAACCTATGTATGCGATAAGGTCTTTAAAATATGTATGCTTTTGGAGATCCTCGCATACAGATCTGGTAACCGAAGCTTTCGATTTAGGATTGTATTCATCGTTTTCATTGCTGTGAAAGGGCTCGTGGTAGCTACGTCGCAACTTAACCGCATCGATTATATAATTGTCCAAATAGAAAAACACACAATTTTTTTGCTCTTTGTCTGTTCTTTTGATTATATTTTTATTAAGAGTTGTCGTATCACTCTTGTTGTCAGGCTAATATGCTATCCTTTATTTAAAGGATAACGTTACTCTACCAGCCTGCAATAAGCCTTTTTTGACAATTGTTCTGAGATGAAAGAAAGGCTAATAGAATAATAACGATCAAGGAGATTGTTATGTTTTTATTTAAGCGTTTAAGCGAAGTACTTCTTGAAAAAGTTACAAGAAAATGGTAACATCGGAGTTATTGTCGCGAGGCACCTTCAATTTGAGGAACTCTGGCACCTACAGTGTAGCCTAAACAAATAATAAATATGCACAAGTAAGAAAGTTATATTCGGCGGGGACCGAATCTCGCACACCCCCCACCACTATGCTTTTCGCATTCTTCTGTCCAAGTTCTTTTATTTGATACCCATATCGCTGGTATTGTTAACAAAAAATTGATCTACCAGGTTGCGATCTTATCTTATATATCTTCATTTGAGGAATGTACAAAATAGTTTTAAATATTCTGTCGGATTTATTCAATGGTAAATAAATATGAAACCTGAAGAAAGTGAAAGTAAGAAAATTTAATCACTTGTAACTTTGTGCCGTAATGGTTTATGTCTCCCATTATCACGTGAAGAGTAGAGTGTTTCGCAAATTAAATGTAGAAAATTTCAGCCTTCTAGCTTTTATAATATTCGAGTAACGAGCAAAAACCCAATAATTTTGGTTAAAAAATACGGGATTCCGTTCAGTTTACGCTCCACTGCGCGTTTCTGCTCTGACCAATTTGGCCAACCTGCATGCAAAAACTTCCAATATTTGCGTCAAATTTCAAGTCGATATCGTCATGTTTACGACGAGGAGAGTGCCAACAATAAACACCGGCCAAAAACGGACAGACATTGCTTAATCAATTTAGTATTTCACGCTGATCACGTATATACATATACTTTATGGGATCTCTGAACCTTCCTCTTGCGTATTACTTACATTATGGAAAGCAACATAATGAGTGTCTCCCCATCTTACAGCGATGGGGAATAAGAAAACAAAAGAGAAAGAAAGGCAAGAAATTTATATTCTGATGTGACCGAGTCTTCCATACCCATTGCCATTCAAAAAAAAAAACAAAAAAAAGGAGAGAAAATAAAATTTCGATGCTTCTTCATTGATTGACTGGGCGCGGGTGATTTCTTTCATTTCGGTACATATGTATGGTATAGGATCACCTCAGCACTCCTTCTCAGTTTTATCTTTCGCGCTCGATGCGTCTATTTCGGGTGATTTGGGCCGTTTCCCATAGTCATCTGCCTGAAAATTTTTAATATTTCAAATCGACATCTTACTCTCTGAAACTAGGAAAATGTTTTACGCAGATATTGTATAAAGAGGTGGGACAGACAGATATGATTCCCATCGATTGAAATTTTATTACTACATAACAATATATATATATTTTATAGGTTAGGTGAAGCTTCCTTTTAGGTGCTGCGTACGTTTTAACAAAACGGGTGCAGTTCCATCTTTCGGAAAAATCAATGTTCAATCAATGAACAATTTTCTACAATTCGGTTGTGTGCTTCTTTAAGCCCACTTATTGACAATTGTTTTCATTTGTTTAATATCTTGCAACTTATTTATTGTTCTATAACAGTAAAAACATGGCAAAGTTTTCTTTTCTTCTTTTGCTGTGAAGTGAATGGCTGACTTTTAATCCAGTATATATATATATATATATATATATATGTATATGTACATATGGAAGTAGAAACATTATTGCACTATTGCCCCAATTCTTTAAAGTGTATAACGTTTGTGTTGCAATAATATATATGGTAAGAAGACAAAAAGAGCAATGTAACAACTGCAAAAAGTTTATATATGATTATGGTTAAGAAGAGAGCAAAAAAAACAAAAAAAGACAAAAAAAGAAAAAAAACAAACACAAAAAAAAAGGAAAAGAAAAAGAAAAACAGGATTACAGAGTGATAAACAAAAGAAAGACTAGACGAACAACATTTGATTGTTTACAGTAAAGTGTTGTTATGTGGTGCAAAAAGAAAAACAAAAAGCAAAAAAAAAAAAAACAGAAAAACAATTTCATTTAATTTTGAATTAAAAAGTTAAATAAATAAACAACATATCAACATATAAGCAAGAAGCGAGCGAAAACGGTGCAAATGACGAGGTTAGATCGTTAAGCACGTTAAGTGAATGCCACGAAATATTGCACCGGTAATTAACTGTTTTTGCCAAAATTTTCCTCGTTTTAGTTTCTCTTATGTGCGCAGTTTATTTTAACGGATCTAATGTGATTAGGCTAAGTGGGATTGCCGTGGATGTAAGATGCCTCCAAAGGAGCGCCTTATTTTGACTGCGCACTTAAACACCATGCATATGCTCATCATCTCTTATCTTAATTGCGTTTTGAGCCATAAACGAGTACAGATTGTATCAGTTAAAGGTATCTTTTATGACGGTTGTTATAATGAGCGAATCTTCCTTCCTTTCATACGCTGTTTCAACGTGTGTCTGTGTACTTTAGTTCTGTTTATATATATATCATATCGAATTTTATTCTTAAATCCATTATCGGATAGAGAGCAATTTTTATTACGCGATAAGTTTGTATAAAAATTGTAAGGAATACACAACCCTGACCTTCGGCTGAGCAGCTCAGAGAACATAGTTTCCAAAAAACATTATGCTTACATGTAATCATAAAGTTATTGTGATCATCAGCTCGTTGGCGAGAATTAATTTTTAAACCTTATATTTTGGAGATCAGATCAGTGAATCTCGTCTTAACCGTCAGCCTTTTTATGCTATGCAAAGAATCAAAAGCATAATCATTGGTGCATGTAATGAAGCAATGGCTTTGCTTTTATTTGAATATAACTTTAAACTCTTCCATGATATTGTCCAAACTTTTCTCGATTCATTGGAAATCCTCTACCAGTTACCACATGCACGTGGTGGATATACTTACGTTTCATCGGCATATATAAATGAATATTGTAGGTGTGGCTGGTATGTAAGTAAATCATTTAAGAAACGATTAATCTCTCGCCTTATTTCATCCACACTATTATTTCTGAATCGATTCTGAATCGATTCTTATCAATCATTTTGCAATATCACCGCTAATGTCAATATCGCGATATTCCATAACACCCTCGTTTGATACGCACATTATGATTGAACATTTGAACAGTGTGGGATTACTCTACTGGTCCAGAAGAAATGTAAAATGTATATGTTTTTGTTTGTTGTAAGCGAGCGGTAAATAAATTTAGTCAATCTCGCATTACCGGATCGTACATTCAATTAGGCTATTAATAATTCAGGTCAATTAGACGTCATTCTAAGCGATCTTGAGTTGTATTCCCCTGCAATGCATTAAGCAGTACGTCGATATTAACGACAGTACACGTAATCGAATTCATGGAAAAGCGTTATACGAAAAACAAAATGAACTGATATAGATATTATATATCTATTATATATCTATATTTCTATAAGCGTTCCATTGTATGATGCTTCGAGAGCGACGCGAGGTTTGTTTAAGTTCATGTTTTTATATGCTATTGTATTGCATAGCAACATTGAATTAATGTTTCCAAGTCGTTCAAGTGCCGGTGCCGATGCTGGTTATTATTAAGTGAAGCATTAAAAGAATTTTTAAAAAATATATGTATTTTTTTTATTTTGCATATACATACATATATATATTTTTTTGTCGATTTCAAACATTTAAGTGCATAATCAAGAATTATGCATAACGCGTTTATGCATTCATGTCATTTAATCATTTACATGAGTAAAGTCTTGCATTTGTTAGTCCATTTAAAAATCGTAAACTCACCTGCATATATCTAGCCAAAGCGGTTGCATTTGTGCGTTGCACTTGCGATCGCAGTTGGGGTTGAGGCGAGCCCAGAGGGCTTACTATTGTCGATGTTGAGCCGCCGATGCCTGTGTCATAGCCTTGAGCATTGTTGCCGTCAACATCTGTAATTGAATGGCAAATAAAACGGGATTATTAAACTAACTCAGACATATTTCGTACTCTCATTATTGTACACCATAATAAAAATGAAAACACATTTACAAAAATGTTAAGGGAAACAAAGAAAAAGGCACAATAAATGCTTCAAGAGTATATATGTACTGCAGGTATGCAAATGTGCGATAAGTTTGACTTAATGGCGGATAACATTTAATATATCTACACTGAGAAAAATAAATGACTCTACGTTTGCATAAAGATGTTGTTTGTTATTTTAGCTGAAATGTTAACAGTTTTAATTATTATTATTTTTTTTATTTTTTTTACCATTTTCGATTCGAACTTTTTATTCTGCGAAATGGTTGCTAACTATCCACAAAACCGTTCAATATGCCTCGAAGACGGCGAAAGAATTCATTTATTGAATTAAATATCATTTTCCCCGCATTTATATATTCACGTATAGCATTACCAAAGGTGGATTTTATTATATATTCTTCCTGGCGGAGAGGTGCACGGCCAGAGGGTGTAACGAAGAGAAGGAGCCTGTTCCCTCTCAAGCAGATTACATTTTTCCACAATGAGGAGAGAAAAACCAACTCGATCAATCGATGGTTTCTAAGAGTCAACATGATCGTCTTTAGGGCCCATAGGACGCTTTGCCAAGACCCAAGTCGAGAACCATACCTGAAAAATACGATAAACGATGCGCCAATTCGAATTTCAATTCATCCAATTTTGCTACTGCGGCACATCATTTGCGTAAATACCGTAAATGGAAAACAGCTTCTGACCCCAAAATTTCTGGCAAAAATGTGAGTATTCGCACCTTTTGATATAGATGTCAGCCGACTATTTTAAGATGATTTCTCGATTATCAAGGACAGTTTGCAGAGGTTCGTTAAGGTGTGGCCATCCATTTTGGCCATCCACCGCGTTTAGTATTACCGGGATCTTGATGACGAATGTCATATATAAAGCAACAAATAATCGGTAAATTTGTTATTTTCGACGGAGAAGAATTCTCAGGATATTTTTCAAGCCAATGTTGAGTTTAAAAGGTATCAATCAAAAAACGAAATTCAATTGTTGTTGTTGTTTTGAGAAGTTTAAAAGGTATCAATCAAAAAACGAAATTCAATTGTTGTTGTTGTTTTGAGAATAACAACACCAGTGCTACTTAAGCTACTACAATATCATGAAATTCGAGCGGGAATTATCTGAATGCTGGCTAAGATGGATATTTTATTAGGCACTTTGTCTGCCAGCACCGAGAATAATGTGTTCGTAGCTGCGGTGGGAAAATTTGTGCGAGAAAGTTGTAATTGTTTGTGTTCTGGGACATAAGGAATATCCAAAGTGTGATATATTTAATATGCTTTTGGATTTCCTCCTTTCTGACAGATGGGAGAGATTCATGATCGCTATAGTTACCTCAAAGTACCAAATGCGTTCAGGCGTTCAACAGAGCTCAGTTTTGTCCTTCTTCTGACAATTCAGGCATAGTTGAGTCCAATAAACGATTTAGATAGTCCCCTTTCCCAGAGGATGTTAGTTAACGCTTCTGAGTTTAGCCGATGTCTTCGGACTTAAGCGAAATAAGTGTTTAATTTAAGTACTTGCATGTATTATGATCAGTGACATGTATTGGGGGAAATGATAAAGTAGTGCGAAGTGTCAATGTACCCAACGATTAGATTCGATAATTTTGACCTTTCTCTACGTAAAATAACATTTTTCCATTTAGCGTTATTGGATTATTCAGTGTATGCAGACGTTAATCATCCAACCCTCAAAATTGCATTTTCGATATTTTTTACTTTTCTTGCTTGATTTGAAGAAATCCGCTGTCGAAGCCCATCAAACACTTTTAGAAGCAAATAGCGAGGCTACTCCATCATATCCCATTTGCCGATTTTGCTTTCAACGGTTCGACAGTGGTGACGGACAAGAGCCTGGATGATCAAAAAAGTTCAAAGACATTGAATTGGAAAATTTCTGGAGCGAAAACTCTTTTCAAACTCTCAAAGAACTTTTGGCAAAACTTAGCAGCCGACGAATCAACTGTCATTGATTGAAAATACCATTTCAAGCCGTTTCATCGCACTTTGATTGTTTCCCAGCCAAAAAAAAAAAAGTTTCTACTACGGCAATCCCAAGCGCAAAAAGTCATGGGGTAGGCCAGGTTAGCGATCAATATCGACATTGAAGCGGACGGACCAGCAATAACGGTTAACAGGCTCAAAGTCATTCGTATGCAGCACAACGCTCGGCCGCACGTTCAAGAAGTTATAAAGGAAACACTGTTGCAGTTGGAATGGAAAGTTCTGCCGCAACCAGCGTATTCAACAGACAGGGCGCCTTCTTATTACTACCTGTTCAGATCGGTGCAGCATGCCATGGCTGGCAAGCGGTTTCGATTGGATCGCTGCCAAACCAATATTGTTGTTGAGATGTGAAAAAGGTTCTAGAAAATGATTAATACACATGCAAGCACCTATTATTTTCAAAGCAGTAGCCTTCATTAAACCCCAGGCATAAATACTAATCAAGATGTAATATATATATATATATATGATATACTTTTACTGTAAATTCTGTCCTTTTATTAAAATAAAGTTTATCGTAGTCAGTCTGATTCACTAAATTGGAGGCTGTTCACTCTCCACAAAAATTCAACTGTACTGTTCCCAATAGGCAGAGGCCGGTTAATTAGCCGTTGTTGTAAATTTAATTACAACGCACACATGTATACATATGCGATGACAAATATACACTTGCAAGCATGTGCACAGTGCTTGTGTAGCAGTTGTGCATTGTACCTTAAGGTTCGTTTATGATTTCATTTGCGATAAATGACAGATCGACTAAAGAATTTTTTGTTCCCTATCCTTTGATATCGCGTGCACTAAGAATAAAAAAAGAGATAAAGCATTCGTCTGTGGTCGAATCTTTTATAGTCCCATCCCCTTCCCATTAGAGTAGAATGTACAAATATTTATTGTTGCAGTAATGAGTACGACATTGTTTTTACTCAATGATTTAGTGTACCTTTCAATTTAATCTTCTTGGGACGATTTTCGAATATCATGTCGAGTTTATCGGTCGTTTTTCACAGGCAAGAAGACCGACATGTTTGACGCATCCAGGACTTGACACTGATTAATAACCGAGCATATATACTTTAGAGGGCTTCCGAAGTTTCTTTCAGGATATTACAAGCATTTTGACAAAAATATGAAATTTTGATACCCTATAATGCTGAGTAGGCGCGGTCATTTGTTCCATTTCGTGGCAGATGCTGGAGGATCAATTACAAAATATACGTGCAAGTTTTTATCGTTGTATCTGCTGTAGTTTGAAGGCAACACAACAACACAAATCCACAATTATTTTCATTTTCGAAAAATGAGGCGTTCGCACTTAACGTTTCACGGTGGACGTGCGCCTGGACCGATTACGCCTAGAGCTTTCAATGTTTCTGAAAAATGTTGAGCTGTTGTCCTCATTTTTGCAATCAGGAGAATGCCTACCGCAAGAAGACAAACAACAAGACAAACGGACATGATTAAATCAACGCAGACTTTGATACTGATCAAGAATATATCTACTTTATGGGTTCTTCATAGCTTCGTTCAGATTGTGTACAAACGTTTTGAGAAAGTGAACGAACATATCATTCGTCGATGATGGGTATAAGACAAGTGTCTAAAATTTTATTGCTTCGCAGTTGTACGCCTAATATGCAAACTATACGAAACAAGTACTGGTGTCTTTGTCGCACTCTACACAAAACTCGCAGTACAAATGCAATTCTATACAGAATTCAATCACCTCTATATAGATCTGCTTCAAAACGGCTTAGCAGTGTAAATGATGCCAGGTTTTTGCTTTACGGATAAAACCCATCATTCCAGTCGTGAACAAGAAACCTGTATTTGTTTGTACGTTTTACGGAAATGACAATTCTGCATGAACTCTACATCATCTATGTCGAGTTCTTTATCCAATATTTGTATATATATATATAGTGCGACGGACAAAAACACAATTACTTAGAGAGAAAAATATTTCTACAATCATTATAATATTGAATGCGAGTATCGGTGTGACCTTTGCTTGTTTATGAACCAAAAAAGATTATTTATTGAACGCACGCTCCATGTCCAGCTACAATCTTTGTCCATCTATCACACAATAGATTTGTTCGTGTTTCTTTACTGCTCCGCACATTATTGAGAATAAATGATGCTATTATTTCTAATAATCTAATTGCGATTAACATTTGGAATAAGGCTGCCGTAACACGTGTTGTTGCGAACTTACAAAAAACGCACATCACCAACGAGATAAAAAAAAGACAATTGCTTTTCAATATTTCTTAATAGCTTTCAAATTGGTGACATGCATCTGGGTAGAAGATTGCGAGATGAGGCCAGAGACAAAAGGGTATATAAAAGTAACTTTGAATATAAAAACAAAACGTATGTAACGCCCTTCCGAGGGGCTTCATCCAGGCTCGTTATGGTCGGAATTCTTGTAATTATTCCCTTCTCTTCTTTTATTAACAAAAAATGTATATATTATGTATCTACAGTGATGGGCTGACTATCTGATGCAAAAGACCTTTTCATATGGAATCCAGTTATTAGCTTTTTCAACTATTTCAATAGTTTGCAATCTCTCTGAAACACTTGATCGATCAATCTTCAATGCCATAGCCAATTCTGACTGGGTCTGATAAGAATATTCAGCCAATAATCGTTCAATTTATTGTTGACATCTCCAAGCATATGGGCTAATTTTCTCTGCTCTTTATCCCTAATGCCAACTCTCTCTCTCTCTCTCTCTCTCTATGTTAAATGTGCAAATCACGAGAAAACTATTGACAAGGATTTCATAATCGAGTTTACTCCTCGGTACACAGTTTCATTAATAGATAGGCTTCAAGAAATGATATTAGACCCTCATTAGCAATATTCAGCTGAAGAAAAAATTTCATGCAAGTTCCATGCCTTCATTTGAGGTAAATCTCTTTTTTGGAAAGCAATGGAATGCTTCAAGCTATTAAGCAATAAGTAAGCATTCATGTCAGACGTTCGTTGCGCGGGTTAGGAAGCAAAACTCGCTTTCATAGATTCTAAGCTGATGCATTATTTTTGTTCATTATTCTGACAAAAGGGCAGATGTGCTCGCATTTTCCAATACGAATCTTTTTTCCCCATCTCCTAGGTGTGTTGGGAGATTTTTTTTTTGTCTGCGAAATAAGTGCAGGTTCCCGAGGTGGATTCATCTTTCATAGTGTGCTAAGAATCCAAGCGTTTTCGGTTTTTTTTTTTTTTATATCTGACTGCTGACAGAGGATGTGTTCTACAGGTGTTGCCAAGGCGATCGTCGAGAAAGATTACAAGTAATGGAGCCGGGGTGTGTGTGTGTGTGTGTGTGTTTGGTAGGAGACTGGAGCACTGTCTTTGTGCAGGTTCGATTCAAAAGTGAAGACATCTGCAATGGTGGGAAAATTGTCTTCGATTTGAATTAAGCTGCAGCAGCTTCAAATCGCTTTCCGAAATATATGATAATTCAATATTTTGCTTTTTATATATGATCGGCTATGTTCTATATATGATTTGGTGTTTTTATTACTCCTCTTATCCATAGATTAGGTTGTCGAGTTAATTATTTATTACGTTTACACAATAAATACTTGTTGTTTGTTGTTTTATATTCAAACATGTATATATGTGTTGTGCTTATTTTATCGTATGTTACATGTACGAGAAATTCGGATGCTAACGATATATGCTCGTTAGTTATTGTAAAAAGTAATTTGAAAGCAAAGTCTGAATATCCACTTGCGAAACTATAGTAAACACTTGCATATTACCCATCTAGCAAGATACATATTCATAAACGTTTATCACGACCTTTCAATACAAGTTGTGCATTCTATATGCATTTACCAATACCGTGCTGGGGTGCTGGGTACTAGCAGCGAAAAAATTGCTTAATATGCAAAAGTGTTTTGTTTTGATACTTGATTATATGTAAATTTTATTGCTGTGGTTATTATTGCTATTGATTTACAACCGGCAGCTAAATTATGTGTGAATTTTTATATAGTGTTTGTTTGAAATTTCGCTCATATTCTCTTTTAGGGTTAGAGAGTTTTATTTTTCTTATAATAAAAAGAAGCCATAAACAAAAAAAATACATAAATTATATATATATATATATATATTTTTTTTAGTTGGAATACCTTAATGTGGCAAATAGTGCCGACATATGCCGATATTAACGATAGATAGTAAGAAAGAATTACATGTTTTAGCATAAAACTATAAAGTATAACCTCCATCGGAGACAACCAAATATATAGATTTTCTAGCTTTTTATTCAAAATTGAGATAATGGGAATCTTAAACACTTTTTGTGTATCTGTTGTCAGTAACAGTAGTAACGCCTGTTAATTAACAGTCATTTGTATGCTTACTCTCTCATTCTCATTGCTTGCATTGACACGGATGCTTTTAATGGCTTCTAATGGATAGAATGTCGGGGACTCATAAAAAAACTCTCGAATTGAATATGCTTCTTCTTTGCAAACTTCTTAGAGAATTCCAAAAATCATGTCAAGAACCTATTAAGGCCCATTGAAATAATGTAAATGAAAGGCCGAGTAATCAAATTATTGATAACAGATACACACAAAGTGCCTAAGACTCATCTAATCTCAAGTTTGAACAAAATGCTGGAACATCTATGTATTTCTCTAATGTCTCTTATAATATATTCTTGTCTTTTGCTATCGTTCGCATTGCGAATGTTTTTGATTAAATTACTTACTCATAGCATTCGCGGCACTAATACCCGCTTAAACACATACATAAAAGATTAAATTGCTTTTTAAAATATTTCAAGTACGAGTTTTGAAAACCTATTTCGAAGAAAAGAGGACTTTAGTGTATAAAACGTTTGAGAATTGTAGATGCCGATCATTAAATCTGGTTTTGAGTTTTCCATTGTGTTATTTGTGAGGAATATTTTGGAAATATTCATTGTCGTGTCGTGGATATTCCTTTCTAGTTTTAGTAGATATTTAAGCTTTCTTTCCAATAAAAGCGCGGAGGCTAAGATTTACTTTTATTTTTCAATTTTCGAACTTCAAGGATCGCAAAAATGGCGAGAAAGGACGGTAGAGTGGATGTACCTTCAGGTGCGACAAAGCAATCATAAGATTACTACTACGCCTTGTGTCCTTTAGAAACGATTACAATGAGACTTTTGGCAGACTTATTCACATGAATAAGTTAATCTTGGAACTAGGTGATGCTATATGTGCTGTTAGGCTATCATAAATGGCAGGCGAACCAGAATGATGCTCAAAGGACAAGGTGATCTTAGATAATTTTAAATTTAAGTAAACAACGTGAAGCAATGTGAAGCAAGAAAGTAATTCTTTACAGTTACAAATGTTTTTCATTGTTTTTGCTTCCTTCCGGTGATCGTTGTTCTTTTGTGCAACTTTTTTTCATAAAATTAGCTTCAACTCGACTTTTTCATGATCAAAAATGATCTGCTCTCTCCACGGGGAAATCAATAGATATCTCTAACTATGCACCAATCACACTTGACCGTTCCACTATCTATTAGCTTAGCAAGCTTAGAAGTGTCTCTCTCTCTCTCTCTCTCTCTCTCTCTCTTCTTATCTTGTAAATTGTAATTTATTTTCGTGCTTATGTGTATGTTAAATGCGTGATACGGTATTGCAGACTGGCATGCTGCACTCGCTTATGGTTTTGTGTTGTTCTGGCCATCTTTAACTATTTCATATTATTTGAGTAAATTTCAGTGATGAGTAATTAATGATTAGATAGCATGGGATTTTATTTTATTTTTCAGTTAGATTGCAAAACAAAAAATGTAATTTCTTTTCTTTTTACTTACCCTTCATGCACATTGGACACTGATCGTTGCGAAACATACAAGAGTAGCAGCGCTCATGACCGCAAGTATCGATCAATTTACGACGTTTGCCTTTATCAAACGATATGCGACAAGTGGGGCAAATCGCGTCGCTCGTATCATGTTCCAGTAAACGGCGTATAGAATGCAAATCTATTAAAAGGAATTACAAAAAAAAAAAAAAAAGGGAGCAAAAAACAAAAAGAGAACGGATTCCATTAATATTTGCTTAGCAAAAATTATGTTTTATTTTTCAAATTTGAATGCAAATTGTATTAACAAGATTGTAACTCGTAGCGCTGCCTAGTTCACGAATATAAAAATGCATTTACATATATATATATATATATATTATGATAGATATAAATTCTTTCTAAGGATCAGTTTTAAGACGATCAGTAATTAAATAATGTCTACGGAAATTCCCAAGATAATTAACAATGTCCGCAGTTGCTCGTTTAACAAAACTGTACGCTTTAGTTAGTTGTTGGAATGTTTTTTCTCTTTCGTCCGTAAGCTCCTATTAGTATTAATATCAACCATTTCAAATGACTTTTAAATTAATATATTTGTAACCGTAGCCAACATTACAAATGATCGCAAACAAAGATTTTATCTTCTGTTTATCTTACCCTCGAGTGTGGGCAGAAAGAATAGATGATGTCGCTGTTATTTGGTTGTTTGCATGCTTGACAGCATACACTCATACCGAAATGAAGTGAAGTTCTGAATAGAGTGCACTGTACTGACACTCGGCTTCAAGTACAGGTCTATAACCTGTTTTTGTTGTCTTTGTTTTTTCTTTGTCGTTAATTATTAACTGGTTTGGGTGTAAGTATATTATGTTGAATATATTATATATACGTATATATATATATATATATATATATATATATATATTGCATATTTTTTGCTTTTCTCTTTACTTTTCTTTAGAGTATTCTTTACAAAATTTTCCTTCTCTTGCTTCTACCATTTAATATGAAGTTTTATAAGAGCTCTATAATAGACCTCTTTACATATTCTTATAATTAATTAATAATAATATAACATGTAAATTTAATTAAATAATTTCGAAAAGAAACGAAAAGTTTTTATCGAAAAAGATGTGCACTGTCACGACTTTATATATTTTATAAACACTTTTGTGATGAGCATAAGTTTTTCACTCAATTTATCCCATATTTTCGTTCCCGCTTCCATTTGTCATCCGGAGTTGGATTATTCAAAATCGCCGAAAAACCATGTTCGAAAGAATGGGTTTACATTTCGGCATTCATCAACAGTCGTGTCCACTGCTAAGCTTATATCTAGCCAACACTGTTATTTAAAAAATGCTTCGCGAAAATCGATAAGGCAGTATTGACAATAACGGTAACATAAGCAACAAGAGATTTGACAAACTACGGCGCAAGCCTAACTGATAGTGTTCGCAATTAACCGAAACTTTATGGATTCTTGATGTGCATTCAAAATTCGCCAAATGTATGTCAGTCTCCCTTTTCTTTGGGTTTTTATTATCTCCTCGAGTAAGTGTTCACGCAGTAATCACGTATTATTAGAGGGTTTATCAGATCAGTTTTGACTAAAGAGGAGTGAAAAAGTTTTTATATTCGCCAATAGGCCAATAAAAGCGGTTTGCGGCTTCTTTCACTTATTTACTTAATATCGGGTCTGGCGCACAACAGGTCTCGGTATAAATCTCTAACTCGGTATGTAGTAGGTGGCGGCATAATGCTGCCATTCACATCTAAAATACCCCGTCTAGGCCGAAAGACACAATCGGGAATACACCGATAATCGATAATCTATTCGTTCGAAACCGCAGCTGTTTTTGAAAAACTCTAGTCCAATCCAACAACCATCTCGTAAATCGAATTCATTGCGATTGGAAGGTTGGAGGGATAATTCGATCATTTCTCTTGGGTTTTTGCAGCCCCATATACTTTAGTTTGATTTGTTTGGGTAGCCAGGCAAACGCAAACGAACCTCAGCCCTCAGAATAATTTTGTCGAAAACAAATTATGATTTTGTGCATCTGAATACCCCTTGCTCTTGATCTAGTATTCATGTTTTCCTCATGTATTTTTAGTTTGCCAATAAACCTATTCCTCACATATATCTCCTTTTTGGGTACGGTAGGATCTTTTGCATTAACTTATATCAAAATGCTAATATTCTTCAAATTTCGGCATCACTGACTTTACGCGGCTTAGCAAAAATTCATTCATTCATTTTCGAGTCCACACAAAAGATTAAATGTTTGCATCGAAAGAAAAGAAAAAAAAAAAAAAAACGCAAAAATCTGTACAGAATTTCGTGTGGGTTGTTGACTACAAACAGTTTTACTTTATTTAAAAAAAAGAAAAAGAAAAAAAAAAAACGATTAAAATAACATTAAAAGAACAAATAATTTTATGCACGACTTAAAGTCTGGTGCAGAAATATTACATCGCGTATGTGCATATATATGCATGTAATTACATAGTTACGTAGTTACGTGTACGATGTGGAGTTTTGATTTGAAGTTGTTTATGTCGGAAAGTAAAACTCGTAAGGCAATGGTTGCAGGCCTACAAATAGTTATAAACGCGTACATAGGCGCATATGCTGCGCATAAATACGGGAAGTGCAGAACAGATTTTATAACGAGTTTTCATAATCGCATACGAAACGATACCTTAGAGGAAATAAGGAATAAAGAAATCTTCAACCAAAGACTCGATCTGCTGACGTAACAACAAGGATATATCCGCTAAAAAATGCATCTCTCATAGCCATGTCACTATGAAAAAAGCAGCAGAGGAAGATTAATACTCCGCTTAACGAATCTATGTGTTGTAGATAAATTTCACGGTAATTTATCCACGTTGCCAGTAAAAGTTGACAGTGCTGGTCTTATAGCAGCATTCGAGACGAGCGCTCCGTGCAAATTATTCTCGACACCATTTTAAAAAGACAAAAAACTGAATCCGAAGCTTAGAAAATGCAACAATTCTTACGACAATTATAGTGGTAATCGTGTATCAACTGTTGGTGAGTACGACGCCAAATTCACCCACTGTCTGCCTGAACATCGAACTACGGACTTTACAGTCTTTAGGGTCACATTTAAGTGGCACTTAAAGAGGATTGGAGTTAGGCAGTTCGGGAGATATGATTTGAAGTGAAATGAAGGGCTTAAGATCTGCCTGTTCGGTTAGTAGGTTCCGTCCGTCTGTTTATTCTAATAACGGTAAAGCAGAGTATCCGTGGGACAAACAGGCACACGGCTTAAACAAAAAAAACAGTTGTACAAATGTCTCAGACCAGCGGCCTTAAACTAAGCGAAGTAAATGGTCATTCGTTCAATGTAAAGTATTATATACTTGGGATTTACTATATTGACGGTAATTAAAAAAACTTGATCATATTTCAAGTATAACCAACGCACCTATTTTAAAAAACATCACACAGAACTAAGGGCTTTCATTGAATTGGCCCATTATTATTCCAAATTTACGCAGACATTATTACAAAACAATTTTGTTGGAATAAGCAATGTCAAGAAGCCTGTGGTACAATCAAAGCGAACATAACCTCACTTTCACCACCACGCACTGTCTGTTGTAATCCAATCATAGCCAATAATATTAACAACTGATGCATCAAATAATAGCGGTACCAGGATTGGTGATGATCTTAAACCGACGTTTCATCATCATCTTTTGGAAGAGAAGCATTGGCAATCGTGTTTTCTATTGCGAATAAATAACACATTTGAGAGCAGCTCATAAGCCATTAATCTGCATTTTTGAGCAAAACAATGGATTACCTATAAGGGTTTCAGCGCACTTACAACGATGGGCATTAATATTATCCGACTTTAACTATAGTGTTGAGCACATTCAAGGAACCAGTAATGGAAACTTGGATGGGTTATCTCCCATGTCACAAAAAAATTTTATTTTGATGATTGCAACTACATCTTAATTCTAAGGACATTGTACGTGAAACTCGTAGAGAATCAATCAATTAGAATGTAATGACGCTATGTAGTGATATGGATCTGTCGCAGATCGCAGAAAAAGTTGCTTAATCAATTGGTATTGTAAAGACGAACGATCGCAAAAAGGTGGTGGCCGGAGCGGAAAAAAGTAAACAGAATGAATGATACAAGTATGTAAACCTGGCCAGGAGTTAGTTACGAAGCAGTCTGGAGAAAAATTCACTGATTCATTGAATGCTTTCGAACACAATACACATTGATTATATGGGTCGAATAAATAGCAAATACTTCTTATTGGTTTTGTTGACTTGTTGTTGTTCGAAATGGGTTAAAGTATTCCAAAACAAGAAGCTTAATGGTCGCGTCATGGTCTATCGGAAATTGCTCTTGATGATGATAGTGTCTTTTAAAGAACGACGACGATCTTCACCGGTTCATCATTTGCAAAAGAATTCCCTATTGTTGAGAAGAAGGACCGACCGAACCGTCTCGAAATTCGGAATAGAAATGCATTGATCAATTGTGCATATCTTTTCAGGGCAGTAGCTACACTATCACATTTGATAATTTATTGCCGAACTGTTATGAATTGAATCAAACCTTGTGCAGAACTTGCTTGCATAAAGAAACAAATTCTTTCTTATCTTTTGAAGCATTTTTTATTTTTATAAAATAAATTTTGCTTGAATTCATACCACGTAAGGAAATATAGACACTTTCACAGTCATCAGTTCCAGGCCAGTCGAACTGATTTCTGTATTAGAATTGAAAGTGTGTGGCGAAATGTCTATCTTCTTTCCTGCCTCACCTGAATTTCTTTTCCGTTTTTAAGCAATTGTTCACAATTGTGAGCAAATTATGAACAACAGTAAGTGGTAACAGGAGTCGCTAAATGAAATCGCAATTCCATGGCAATTACAGAAACGAAGCTTCCGTGTGGTCTATTACTTTCTATATTATATTAATTATGCATTTTATTCTAAAATATGAATTTATTGCGAGCATGTATGCAAGTTGTCGTTTTAATTCACTTCGATGCAGTAGTAGTGGAAGATACTGAATTTTACAAAATATGCGCACAACCGTCGGTAATTTTAAGCAGATGCTACATAAATGGCACTGACTTTTTTATGCTATCAGATAATTGAAACGTAGCTTTATCACA